ATGTAATAATTTGGAATTGTGCATTCCTTGGTGGTCCTAATTTACGGGTGCAGTTTTCAATTTTCGGTTAAGCAGAGCCAACAGATATTTTTTAATGTTTTTTGTGAGTCGGCTAGTGCTGTGGGTCGAGTTTCTCAAACATGTTCGTTGCATGCGTATCCTTTCCGCTGCCGAGTAGGTCCATTGACAAATAGATTGTTGCCACTTAGTCTTCGTTGAGTTTTGTTTTCGGCCTTTTGTCACCATGCCGAACTTCACCGTGGACCAGATGCGACAGATCATGGACAAGACGGATAACATCCGCTCCATGAGTGTGATCGCGCACGTGGATCACGGCAAATCCACATTGCTTCTTGTTTGTGCTTTGCCATACCTGGTGTTGCAAGGTTTTGGTGCAATCCTGCGATTTCAGGTTTCATTACTTGAAAGCATTTTCGATTCCCAGCAGTTCGCACCAAAAATTTTCTCCAACCCACCCGCCAAGTTTTCATTTCTGAGGCAACACAGTCCCACAAAATGTTTTGGTGTAAAACTAATCTGGATATTCGGTTCCCATCTCCCTGATGGAAGGCTAACTACTTGTTGCCCAAACATATTAATAAAAACTATACATGTGTTGATTGTGCTGGTTCGGCAGCAGCCAAATATCTCCTTTGTGTAGAACAAACCCAAACATGTGTGAGTCCAGGTATGAATTTTAACTTGAACATTCCCCCCACCGTGCACCTTTTTGGGGTTCATTTGAGTCCATTTGCGCGTTTTTCGCTCATCACTGAGGACTGATTCCTTGATTTGCAAGGCCCGGCTCGTGAATCCTTTCGATGAGCGAAATGAACATGGCTGGTTCAGAGGATTGAACATGGGGAGGTTCCCAACAGATGTTCTCAAGCCCTTGCTGCGTCGAGGTTTATTGCTAGTTTAAGATACACCCTCAAATGGATTGTCTTTTAAGTTGTTGTCAAACGGTTAATTTGCAGACAGTTTCTTGGGCATTTTCATGTTTGAGTGCTGTAGAGTTCGACGGATGGTTCTTCCTTCCTGTGCCCACCGAGCAAACACTCCAGAACACCGAGCGAGCACGCGCGCTGCTTGTGACACCTGTCGCGCTCCGCGTGAGAAGCGGTCGTCGGCAGGCAGGCATCATCTCCGCCAAGGCGGCCGGTGATGCCCGCTTCACAGACACCCGCGCGGACGAGCAGGAGCGTGGTGTGACCATCAAGAGCACGGGCGACTCGGACCTCGGAGGAAGAAACGGATTGAAGGGAGGAGGGGACATGGAGGGACTGGAGAGAAAAGAACCCCTGCAAAAGAAGGAGGGTACCATATTGCACCATAAAAGATCACTGGTGATACGAAAGTAGCTAGTAGCTGGGCTTTAGTTGATTGACTGATTGAGCCATAGGCTGGGGAATCCAGTGTGGGTAAGAGGGGTGGATTGATTTGATTTGTGTGTCACGCCGCACGCTTTCGGCGCTCACACTCGGTCTTTGAGCACCCAGGAGTGTCCTTGTACTTCGAGCACGACGAGGAAGATGGAAAAGGAAGCATTCCCCACTTGATCAATTTGATCGATTCGCCAGGGCATGTGGACTTCTCCTCGGAGGTGACCGCCGCGTTGCGCATTACGGACGGTGCCATGGTGGTGGTCGATTGCATCGAGGGCTGCGCCGTGCAGACGGAGACGGTCTTGCGACAGGCTTTGCAAGAGCGTGTCAGGCCGACAGTGGAAAGTGTGTTCAGAGTGGCACGATCTGTGTGGTAATTATTTGGATTGCTTAGCGTTGCTTAGGTCAATTTGGAGAGTATCTTGGTTCGGTTGCTCCTGAGGGAGGCAAATCAGGAAGAGCTTGGCAGTCCAACAAGATATGGGTAAATTGTTCATTATGTCTATCGTACATGATTCCATGAATTCGTTTAGCCAGCCCTGCTAGGCCGTGCCTTTTTGTGAACAAGGTGGACCGCTGCATCTTGGAGTTGCAGATGGAAGCGGAGGACATGTACTCCCGTTTCCGCAATGCTATTGAGAACGTGAACGTGATCATTGCCACTTACAACGATGCGCTGATGGGTGATGTGCAGGTGCAACCTGAGAAGGGAACCGTTGCATTTGGTAGCGGCTTGCATGGGTGGGGCTTCACCACTGAGCGTTTTGCCAAGATCTATGCCCAGAAGATGGGCGTGGAGAAGGAGAAGATGATGCAAAGGATGTGGGGAGATTCCTTCTTCAATGCCAAGAAGAAGGTGTGGACAAACGTGCAGCAGCCAGAGGGTTGCACTGAGCCTCTGCAGCGAGCATTCTGCCAATTCATCATGGGGCCCATCAACCAGCTGATGCGTGCAATCATGAACGATGACAAGGAGAAGTATGAGAAGATGATGGGCACCTTGGGCATTGTGCTGAAGGGAGATGAGAAGGCCCTCACTGGCAAGCCGTTGATGAAGCGAACCATGCAGATTTGGATCAATGCTGCTGACACCTTGCTGACCATGATTGTGACCAAGCTGCCTTCCCCGCGAACAGCCCAGAAGTACCGAGTGGAGAACTTGTACGAAGGCCCAATGGATGATGCTGCTGCTTCAGGCATCCGCAGCTGCGATCCGGCAGGCCCTCTGATGATGTATGTTTCGAAGATGGTTCCCACCTCAGACAAGGGTCGCTTCTACGCTTTCGGCCGAGTTTTCTCCGGAACCATTGCAACTGGACAGAAGGTTCGTATCCAGGGCCCTTACTACAAGCCTGGAAGCAAGGAGGACTTGCATGTGAAGAACATTCAGCGAACTGTGTTGATGATGGGTCGTACCACGGAGCAGATTCAGGATGTGCCTTGCGGCAACACTGTCGCTCTGGTTGGCGTTGACCAGTACATCCTGAAGTCTGGAACTATCACCACTCTTGAGGATGCCCACAACATCGCTGACATGAAGTACAGTGTGTCCCCTGTTGTGAAGGTTGCCGTGAAGGCCAAGGACGGCAAGGACTTGCCAAAGCTCGTGGAGGGCTTGAAGAAGCTGTCCAAGTCGGATCCTTTAGTCGTGTGCACCACGGAGGAGAGCGGAGAGCACGTCATTGCTGGATGTGGTGAGCTTCACGTGGAGATTTGCTTGAAGGACTTGAAGGATGAGTATGCTCAGTGTGAATTCATTGTCTCTGACCCAGTGGTGTCCTACCGCGAGACCGTGAGCGAGGAGTCCACCCAGACGTGCTTGGCCAAGTCGCCCAACAAGCACAACCGCATCTACCTCAAGGCCGAGCCCATGGATGAGGAGCTCAACAAGGCCATTGAAGACGGACCTGCTGGCCCCAAGGCAGATCCCAAAGAGCGAGCCAAGCTCTTGACTGAGAAGTTCGACTGGGACAAGCAGGTGGCCCAGACCAAGATCTGGTGCTATGGTCCTGAGACCGATGGCGCAAACATTGTGGTTGATGCCACGGTCGGTGTGCAGTACCTCATTGAGATCAAGGAGCATGTGAACAGTGCCTTCCAGTGGGCCACAAAGGAAGGGCCCCTTTGCGAGGAGAACATGCGAGGCATTCGATTCAACTTGATGCTCGGCAGCACGATGTGCACGATGCTTTTCGACGTCGAATGTGTTGGTGAGATTATTTTGCAGCTTGCAACTTTCATTCACCTCAAACTCATCCAAGCTTGTAAAGTAGAAGCCCTTCCTTCTTTCCCATCCATCCATCCATCCATCCATCCATCCATCCATGCATCCATCCATCCATCCATCCATCCATCCATCTATCCATCCACGCATCCATCCATCCATCCATCCATCCACGCATCCATCCATCCACGCATCCATCCATCCACGCATGCATCCATCCATCCACGCATGCATGCATGCATGCATGCTTGCTTGCTTGCTTGCTTGCTTGCCTGCTTGCTTGCTTGCTTCAGTCCTTGCTTCAGTCCTTTGCCATGAAAAAGCCCGAAAAAGCCCACAGGATGGACGTCACCCTCCACACGGATGCCATTCACCGTGGTGCCGGGCAGATCATGCCTCCCACCCGGCGCTGCTGCTTCGCAGCGGAGCTCACGGCCAAGCCCACCTTGCAGGAGCCGGTCTTTTTGGTAGAGATTACGTGCCCACAAGAGGCCATGAGCGGCTTGGGCCTTTTTGGTGATGGGGAAACCTTTTGGTGGGGAGGTGGGAGGCGGGATACAGTGAATTCTGTTGTTTTTCCGAGCAAACACATTCTATTTGGACTACGGGAAAGAGGAGGCCGCTAGGTCCCGATCGCCCTCCACAAAACTCTCAGGTGGCGTCTACAACTGCATGAACCTGCGCCGTGGCTGCGTTTTTGAGGAGAACCAAAGGGAAGGCACCCCACTGGTGCAGGTGAAGGCTCACCTGCCAGTGTCGGAGTCCTTTGGCTTTGTGGCGGCCTTGCGTCAGGCCACCAGTGGGCAGGCCTTTCCACAATGCGTCTTTGATCACTGGGAGAACCTGCAGGGCAATCCCTTGGACAAGGGCAGCAAAATGGAGGAGATGGGGCGGGTTTGGTCGGGTGTGCTGGATTCTTCGGTTGACTTGTGCTCTGGTTTGGTTCACCAATGAGATGGTGGGGCCTGGTTCGGCCGGTTCATGCAACAGCAGGGGAGTTTCTCTTTGATTTGGTGTTTGATGAGCCAATTTTATTCAGTGTGCATGGATTTCTTTAAAGCATCAACTGGAGCTCTTCAGAGGAGTTGATCCTGAACATCCGCAAGCGCAAGAACTTGAAGGTCGAGATGCCCGCCCTCGGCGACTACTTGGACAAGCTCTGAGATGACCAACGGAGCAGTGGATGGGCACCTGTGAGCTAAGACCCAAAAAGGTTTCGTCTCCAACTGGAGGGGTGCAGTTTGCGGAAACGTGTGTCCTGTAAGAATGGGTTTAGACGAGAGCAGCAATCTGGAAGTCATGCAAGTTTGGCTGCGAAGTGCTCGTGGTGTAGCCAGTTTTGTGTTGGTTGGCGGTTTGTCAGGCTCTAGGTGCGCAGTGGGAGGAACAGAGAAAAGATATACAAGGGGTAGAACAAGAATCTCTAGACATAAGGCAAGCAACACATTCGCTCTGCATCCAGAGAACTGAAATGGCGGTCATCGTCTCAGAGACTTTCTTTGGATGGATATGGCTTGAAATGCAACAAATTTATGTTCCAATTTGCTGAAGACGTGGCTGTTTTGGAAAGCAAAGGTGGTGGGAATTTACCAATTTCGAAACCGTGACCGCATGAATTTTGCATTTTTGCCAAAAAAGAACATCGTGGCCGTTTGCATTTTCGAGACCGTTTGCATTTTTGCATTTTGGAACTGATTGCACTTATCGTGAAGCGATGCTTCTGGGTTTTCACGTCTCTCCATTTTCGCTTCCAGGCTGGTCCTGGTCCGGTGCCCGTGGAGGTCGATGACTTGCCGGAAGGACTCCGAAGAGATCTCCCCGGAAGGAGTCGGGCATCGCTACGAACGGAGCAAAGCGCATCGCTGCTAGGTTGGAGGCCATTACTACTAGTAGCAAAGAAGCTCCTACCGGTCGGCGCCAGGATGGGAGGCCTTTGCGACCAACGATGGGAGCAGCTACTTCTGCTTTCCTCAGGCCTTCGATCGATCGATCGATCGGTTGAGTCGATGTGAACTCAAACAGAGTGGCACGGATATGTTTTCCGAAGAGATCCTCGGCATGAAGGTTCATTGGATGCACTGCGGTTTACTTGTAGCTAGTTTGAGGGATCTTTCAGTCCAGTAATGCCACAGTCACAGCAAGAATGCAGCAGGGCTAAAGTTGTACAAATGTCGTTGGAACTTGCAATGCTGGGCATAGAGCTGGTATCTCTTGTTTCAAAGTAATTCTTTGATTCTTTGTGCGTCTGTGTGCATGATACCATTTGTATTGCCCAAATTTTGTTTTATTGAGCAGTTTACTGTGGTGATCCAATTGTTATTTAGGCCGGCAGATGTCGAGGGACATGGTCATTCAAACAACTTCTATATAATTGTATTCTTCGCTGACCCTGTTCGTGAACTGCAAGTCATGTCAAGTTGTACTGCCCCTGAAGGAAGTCGCTAACAGAAAGCCTCATACTTGCTCATTCTAAGCTTCCAAGCAATTCAAGCGGAGATTCCGCAATCCACCCTTAGCCAGGTCACCACCGACATGTGCAAGAATTGTTTCATGAGCTTTCAAACCTTGAGTAGTTGCAAAGCCCAGCAAATTTCTCGATTCCCATGCTTTTCAGCACAGTTTCGATCACAGGTCTACTACTACTGCCGAGCTTTGGATCAGGCAAGGGAGCACAAGAGATTTTCTTTCTCACAGGCTGATCAAACCCCAACAGGGTTGGGATCTTTGAGTGGCTGATCTCATTGCCTGGGATCCTAACCAGCTAAACTGCGAACTTATAACTGGCCCACTCTGGTCTGGATTGATAGTGTCTCCAGTGTGGAGGACCGCCCACCTCGGGGGAAGCCTTTGATCGCCCGGCATTGAATGAAGTCTGCTCACTTCAGTTGGCACATGCAACATGTTATAGAGCCAAGAGTATTACATAGTATTACTGTATGCTGCCCTGAACGGATACATTTCAGATATGCGGTGTGTACAATGGGATGAACTTTCCCACAGTATATATAACGGCAATAACAGATGTATATCTACATCTATCATACAATATATAGTAATATATATGGTATCTATAATATATATACATATCTATATACAATATGTAATGTAATATAATATATATATATGTATATATACGCTGCATGTCGACGAACACCCCGACGAACATGGTCGATGTGTGGACGCTGTGTCAGGTGCAATGGAACCGACCCAGGCCTGAAGACGCACAGGACCCCTTCGTGGTGCCGGCTGTTCTTGCAGTATCTATTTACACATCTATATGCAAGTCGGACGATGCGTCAAAATCGAATCAGTGGTTGCGGTCCATTCAAAATCGACCCAATATGAATGCCTTGAACGGTCCAGTTTCGTTGGAGTCTCGGACTTGATGTAGTTAAGTTGTTCCCATGCTAAAGCAAGAAATGGAAGCGTGCCGGGTGGTTCAAAGCCTTTCAGCTGTAGTGCACTGCCTCATACTCATTCAGCCAACAAGACCGCTGCTTGTATGTTGTTTGTGGTACTGGTATGGCTTTGTCGGACGCTTGTAGGCAAATATGAAGCAGTTTGAGGGTCTTGTTTAGCAGGCGAAACGTCTTGTTTGGCGTTATTCGCCTGTCTCAACGGTGTCATTCCGTTGGAGTTTAATTTCAGCACATGGCTTGCAGGGGAAGAATGCAAAGAATATATGCATATATATATACATACACATAATTGGAGGGTAGATAGCTCTTCACTTTGTCACTGTGTCTGAAGCTCGTATAGCCTGTGCTTCGCCAGGTGGGAGAGACCATCAACGGGAAACCGCCTTACCAGAAAGGTGATGAGTGACTTGTCCCATTGAGAGGTTCATCCAGTCATGCATTCACAAAAGTGAATAGTGACGCATGCCTTGAATGCCACTGTCATATGGGGGGCAACTGAAAGTCAATGGGAGGAAGGCGCTGAGCTCACCTTCGATGTGGCAATGTTGTTTTGCAGCATTCCATGCAGTTGCTTGTCGTGGGATTCATCTCTTGACTCTTTTCAAACCTCCGACCTTCTCCCAGAAATCCTGATCTGTGGCCGTAGATAGACCGACAAAGGCGACAAAGGTGACAAAGACGTTGTGTTGGTGGGAGCCACATCTTCCCTGGCTGGTGCTGGTGGCGCCACGCCAAGCGCGGCCGCTGGGCTGCAGGTTCATCCCTGATCCTCCGCCGCCCATGCCGTCGGTGGCTGAGATGAAGGAATTTCAACCAATTGGAATGTCTAAAGCTGGAGATATCGCACTGTGAAACTTCTACCGTGTGTATGTATAATATATGTACTGTACATATCTATATAACGTGTCTACCGTGTGTGTATATATATATATTTCTTTTTATTCTCGACTCTTTTTCCAAGCTCAGCTCTCTGCCACTTGGGCCTGAAGCACTGCAGGAGACTGCTCTGCTTGCCATCATCTGCGCAAGTCCTTCTTAGCCCTCTTGAGGCCTGGCAACCTTCCGCTCCACTCTGCGAGTCAGGCAAGTCACCTCGCTTCCACGACGCCACATGTGATGGGTGTGATGACCTTGCCACCATCCCAACACTTCTGCTTGGCCAGAGCTGCCAAGCGTTCTGGGGCCTCATTCTTGAGCCACCAGATGGTGTCTGGATGTGAAAGTCATGCTGGCCTTGGCCTTCCAGTCTGCCTTCAAGGATGCGCTGAATGTAGTTCGCCTTGGACTCATCCTGGGTGCCTTGCCCTCCACAATGCAAGGAACTTATCGGTGTTCACAGGGTTCAGCCTTGGCTGCAGAAGGCTCCTCCATCTTGCTGTGCATGGTGACCTATATATATATATATATAGTATACATGTATTATTTATATATCAATAGGGGCCTTTGCTGACGAGCTCTCGCTTGCCTGGGGCAAAACACACCTGGCTGCACGGCAGCTTCTCTCCAGCAATGAGCCTCAGACATTAAATGGTCTGGAAGGAATGGACACCATTTGGCGACACTTCGAACATGGCAAACAGGACGATGTGGGACATTTTACTGGCCATCTTTGGGCACACTCTGAGTCCACCTTCTTTGGGGGCAAATTCTTTCATGTCCATGGAAACGGAAGACTTGAAGAACGGGAACAGGTGCCACTCAACATTCTGTTCCCCAATGACTTGAGCCATCCCAACCTGGCAATGGCCAGTACCTGTATGGCACTCCGGGAGCCCTGATACTTCATCTTCAGCGGTTTCAGCAAGAGGGCACGGAATGGACCAAACATGATTTGCTGGTGGACATCCCAGTGAGGGTCAGAATTCCCTTTTCGGAAGATGGCATCCATGTCCACATGGCCACCTACAAGGTCATCAGAATGGTCTTGCACTTGGGAAAAGGCCATGAAGCTGGGCATTATGTGGCCATTCATTGTTTGGACAAGCTTACTGGTATGCTGATGATGAGCAATATCCACTCCCTCTTCCCTATGTGTGTGATGCGCACAAGCAACAAGTTGTACAAGTTTGGCTCACCTTAGATGCTGCTGATGAAATGGTCCCGGACACCCTGGAGGCATGGGAACCAGTACTTCAAAGGAGGCAAAGATGTCACTACGAGACACTTCACATCCTCTTCACCAATGTCACCAACTTTGGTCACAAAGTTCAAGATTGGGCCTGGACCAAAGCGGATCATCTCCTGTTCCTGCAGGAGACACACATGGGAACCAAAGCGCTGGAAGCAACCATGCAGTATACTTCAGCGCAAGGGGATGGAGAACCTATGGAGTGGAAGCAGCGCCCACGGGCAACGGTGGCAACACAGGAGGCTTCCTCACCCTTCATGGTCAAAGGCACCTGACACACCATGTACAAACCTTCACTCAGGAAGGCAATGGATGGACTGCCATGCGGTTGCAACGGGAGGGAGCACTCATCCTGCTGATCTAAGTGTACCTCAGGACTGGAGAAACCTTGCAGTCTCCAAGGAATGCTGAGATGCTGGATCACACTCATGCGCCCTTCATCATTGGAGGAGACTGGCAGAACTCGCCCGATGCTTTGGCGGCTACGGTGATCATGAGCAAGTTCAATTGCCAGATCATTGACACGGAGGGGCCCAACTACCTTGCATGGCTCTCAGTTGGACTTTCTGCTGGTGTCCAACGTATTGGGAAGCCCCATTGTGGGCTGGCAGTCGCCCTCACTCGTGACTATGCAGAGGTAGAGGTCCAACAGCTACAACGATTCCCTCCGATCGGCAAGGTCCATGCTTTACCACAATGTTGGACCACATGGTCGACCAAATGAGACCACAAGTTTGGAAGAAAGGTCAACTTGCGTACTGGGAGCGCATGGCTGTCAGAGTTAACATCTTACACCAGACTCATCGCAAGAAGGTGGCGAAAGATCTGATCAGTATGCTGTCCACGCTCAATGACAACTCCTCTGAAGACATGGAACAGGATCTCTTTGCCACGCTTCTCCGAACGTGGGTTGCTGAGCCTCACAATGATCCCACTGAGCTGAAGCGCGCCATTCAAAACCAAGAACATCAAGCGCACCAAGCGCTTCTCAGCTCAGGCAATGCGGAGTTCAAGGCATGGCTGGAGAAGGCGCGCACTCAAGGTCTCAGAGGCCTCTTCAGGAACCTGCGGCAAAGGGACATTCCTTGGCAACGTCCCTTTCAGGATCTACCTGCCCTGGACAGACTTCGAGCCAGAGAAGAGCGCTCAAAGCAGCTGCCATTCATCACGCCATTGGCATCCCTCCGATTGACTCCAGCGTTCTCCGGAAGATCCTACGGAGGTTACCCAACAAGGCAGCAGGCCCTGACGGGATCACCTATGACTTCTTGACACATCTCCCGTATCCTGCTGTCAATAGGCTGGCGCAACTACTCACAGAGATGGAGAATACGGACACCATGCCAACACAGATGCTCCTCACAAACATCGTCATGATCCCCAACAACAGCAGGGTGGAGAGACCTATTGCCTTGACTTCATGTCTCTACAGGGTCTGGAATAGATACAGGAAGTATGACCTCCACCGCTGGCAACTTAGCTTGGGTGAAGAATCGCATGGGACAAGGCGAGACCGCAACAAGATTGCCTTTCCATTGCCATTGGGAGGATGCTCAAAGCTGAAATGTCCAAACATCAGGGTATCCACACTGTCTCATGCTTGGCTGATTTGTCCTGCTTCTATGTCACGGTGAACTTGGACAACATCATTGAGCCAGCAGCACGCATCTTGCAATATCCGGTGCTACACCTCAAGTTTGCTTTGGACTTGTACAGTGGCCCTCGAACAATTCAAGCAGAAGGCATCAGTGGAGATCCCAAGCACTACCAGAGGGGAATTTTGCAAGGCTGTCCTCAAGCGCCGGCAATTTCGAAGCTGATCCTCTACAGACCCTTGAAGCAGCTGGTTCAAACCCATCCGGCGGTATCCTTGCAGACCTGGGTAGATGATGTCTCCTATGACATTCAAGGCAGAGATCCAGCCTACGTTGCCAGAGAAGCCCTCTTGGCTTTCCGCGCACTCAAAGCGGGGCTGGAAGCAGCTGGACTGGTCATCAATACCGACAAAACTGGATTCATAACCAGCGCCAAAGAGGTCAGCAAGGAGCTCACGATGTTGCTCACACCTCAAAACCCGGCTCACTACGATGTCCTTCGTGACCTTGGAGTAGATGCAACAGGCACTCGACGGAGGCGAGTGATGCAGGTGCGCAAGCGCTTCCACAAAGGCAGTGCCAGTACCGGGATCATGCACCGATTGCGGTTAGCTCCAACTACCAAAGACCGACTTCGTCGAGGGGCCATCCATCCGGTGATGACGTGGGGAGCGCAAGCCAATGGATTGCCGCCGCAAAGACGACAAAAATTGAGGGTCTTAGCGGCCAGAGGTCTTCGTCTCCAACGGAGTGGCTCAGTGGATGTGGTGTTCGACATGCGTCCAAAGCTCCCTGACCCAGCGGACTCCCTCAATTGTCACCACACCCACACGGTGTGGAAGCTCTACCACGCTTTTCCGGAAGGAGCCCAACATCTTTTCTGGACCAGCTGGAACACTGCTCTGGGAGTTCTGCTCAAGGCCAAATACCGGTGGCAAGTAGTGTCTGGTCCGATGCAAGCCCTCCAAGCCTACTTGCTGGACTATGATTTCAATGTCTCCAATGGCAAGCAGTGGAAGAGAACAGGATACGGTGGATTTCCGGACTGCCTTCTGTCCCTCGAGGATTGCTGGCCGGTGCTCCTGCAAAAGCTCAATGTGGAATTCAAGTGGCAACGATTGTTGCGCCTGACGAGGTACGAGGGCTGCCAGGCCATTAGATTGGACTGTTAGTTGGAAGCTGCAGAAGAACACCAACGACATGACAGCATCTGCACTGAGAGCCCTGCATCAAGGAACCCTTTATGGAGAAGAAGGCAAATGCCCCCTGTGCAACCAAGAGCTGACCTTCATTCACTTGATTTGGCAGTGTCAGTACTGGAAGGGCCGAGTTAAAAATCTTCCAGCACAGTGGAAGGAATGTCTGGAGTGTGGCACCGAGCCAGAATTGTGGAATCGGGGTATGGTGCAATCCATCTTCTACCAGGTTGAAACTGGCATGGGCTCCTTCGAGGGCACTGGTCATTGCCGCGCTCAGGAAACCCTATCCTTTGGTCCTGGCCACGCCTTCACCATTGCTTTGGCTCCTACGTGCTCTGATGGGAGACACAAGAAATTCTGCTTTGCCATCTGTGTACACCGCATTGCAGATCGAGAGCAAGTTGCATCACTCACTGGCATTTGTCCTGGGAAGGTGACAAAGCACAGGGCATTGTTCTATGCTCTCAAGCACTTAGCGCTCCACGTCAAGGAGAAGGTTCAAGTGGCCATCTATGATCATCAGGTCTGGAAGCACTGGACTCCACACCAAGCCTACGAGAACTACCCGGACTTGTTCCAAGGTCTGGAGTGTGAGGACTTTGAAATGATCAAGCCACTCCTTTTCTCCCTGAAGGAACTCAAGCAAAACCTTTTAGGGACTATCTCCAGAAGAGCGCGATGAAAGTGGCAAAGCAGGCAGCTGAAAGGCACAAGCCGACAGCCATTCTGGATCTGCAAGCCAACATAGATGAAGACGCTGAAGCAATCTTGCTTGCTGCAGCTCAGCGCATCGAATGCGTCCTCAAGGACAAGTCCCACTTCTAGGCACACACAAAGTGCCCCTCATCCAGCAGAAACGAGAGCTGGTTCAAGCGCTTCTCAGCCAGCCACACCAGAACGGGCATAGCTGGGCGCCCTTTCGGACCGGTGTTGCCTGCCAGAACTGCAAACAGCGGATTCACACCAAGAGCCCCATCCAGGAGCTCAGGGAAGCTCTCCAGATAGACTGTGCAGTCCAACTCAGGGAACCCGTCAAGCGCAAAACGCGAGCTCATCCAGGAGCAGACGGAGCCTGTTCCAGGGAAGCACCACATCTCCTTGGACCGCGCTTATGTACGTTGCAGCCAGTGCAAAAGCTGCAGCTACATCTTGGCCAGGACAGCTCAGGACAGCTTTGAGAAATGGCTCCATAAACCATGCATGGTGGGCCCGCTTGCACCAGACCTTTGGCACGGGCATCCCTCGCATCGTATGGAGCGATGTGGCAGCAAGGTCACGTGTGGACGATGCCGCCTACGAACGAAGATCGTAGACGGCCAGGTGGAGCTCAACGAAAAGCTCCGTCAAAGATGTGAGCTTCGTGGTTCAAAGGATCTACGAAGTTTCTTTCGCTAGAGCACCTCATAGCACTCAGAAAAGGCGTGCAAAAAAACTTATATATCAATATCAATATTTATATTAATCTATGTTTTTCAATGTCTACATCTATATCTATATCTATATATAATGTGCTCGTTGATTTAGTAACTGCTACATATCAATATCGCATGCCCTTTCCCAGAATCGACAACCGCAAGCTTGGTCATTGTTTTGATGCGGACATTTCCCATTAAAACACTTGCTTGCAAAAGGTTGAGTTACTGATATGAAAAAACGCCGATCATCAGTTTGGTCGTTTGTATCCACCATGGTCTTGAGGAATGTGAAGCGGGGTTCATCAAAGAATTTTGCTTTGGTTTGAATGAGCCGCCAAGAAGATGCCCTTTGTTTGAAATGTGGAAGTATGTTCTCAAGCTTCATCTCAGACCAAATCATTTGAGGTATAATGGCCCGCTTGCTGACCAGAACTACAAGGAGAGCATGGCTCTTGAAGACTTCTGACGCACCGTATCCTGATAGAACTGGACTAAGTAGGCTTCAAGTACAATTCCAGCTGCTAGCCTTGCATGCAAAATATGCAGAAAGAGGCAAGTCGTTGCCCCCAAAAATTCAGGGATTCCTAGGGCCTTGCAATGTTCTGCATTGTAGAACGCTGACTGGCAGGCATCCGCTGAGGATCCTGAAGATGTGTTCCAGCCAGATGAGGACATTTTGGAGGCCCATGTGGCCGCCCCCATCTCCCCTTCAATGGTTTGTGATGTGGGACATCAAAGGATTCTCTTCATTCGCTTTGAGTTGTCTCTTGCTTCCTCTTTTTCCTCGTTGAAGCACTGCAGACCAACGACAGCACAGCCACCATTGGTGTCAAGGGGAGTTTCTTTGGTTCGAAACCTCTAGGGATTGAAATCCGAAGGCTGAGCAGCTCACATGAGACTGAGCCTCGTAAGGCATGTATCGAGTGCAACATCGACAAAGTGAAGTCTGCCCTGGAAGAAGGCCTCAGGATTGTCGCACGTGCAGTGGAGGGAGCATTTTGCTCGTGCGTCGCTAGTTGTTTGGGCTTGTCTTCATTGGGGCTGTCTTGGGTGGGTCCACAAACTGCCGAGCTTGGCTTTGCTTTGGACTCTGGGTGTTGCCTTGGCCTCGGCAAATAAATAAGCCAGGATAAGTGGCTACAGCTACTGTACAAACTGGACCTACATAAAGCTCTTGAAAGACGCACCTAATATACCCAACATCACATGCTTTGGGATAGTGCCCCAACACAAAGCTGACCTTTAGACAATTTTCTTGCAATGTATGGATTGTTGGCGTGACGTGGTCTTCAAGACCTGTGAGTAGATGCCACCACTGACTGATTGCTGTAAGCATTTCCAAAGAAATAACGGAGTTTTTGAAGCCGGTGTGGTTGCCGAGGGGCGAGCCCGAATATTGACTAATTCCATAGTTAGTCAAGGATTTTTGGGATACCTGCTAGGATTGATAGACAATTCTTTTGCGGTCGCTGTCCAAACATGAGCAACAAAGCGATTGTCAATACGACATGACGCATGAAACCGACTCATTGTATATATATACAACTCTAGTTTTTCCCCACAAAGGATGAACATGGACCGTGGGACGTTTGGGTGAAAACCTCCTCCGGATGGACCCGGAGGTCGGTTTAAGTCCACCAGTGGTTTTCAATGGTCCGGATCCCACAGGCGCCGATGTGTCTATTCCGAACCAGCCTTGGCAGATTCTGGACGGCAAGTGTGGAGATGTGTAGGACATGTGCGGGATGGAGTGAGCCAGAGTGTGTGCCATGTGAGCCTTGGCTGAAGGGACATAGTGTCTATATGTGTCTATCATACACACATAAATATGAAAAATATGCCCAAAGAAATCCGCAACTTGCCGCAACAGCTAGACACATTTTGTGCGCTCTGAAAGAAGTTAAACATGCCGCAAACCTACCTTTCCTGCTGTATCAAGAATTCAACTCCGAAAAAACAAAGGAAGAACCAGTGAAGATGCAAAAACTGCCAGATCTCAAACACACTGAAAAAACTCTATCACATTGAAGATACCAATCAAACCGTCTAAACCTTTTCTGCTCGAGCAGATGAGCCACCAGGTCGAGGCTGATTTGACCGCCCCACCTTTCTCCGGAACCTTCCCCCGGGACCTTCCTGTGAGACCCCTCCGAACCCTTGGTCTGGAACCTTTCTCCGAAAAATTTCTGCCTGCCCCGACCGTGCCGAGGAACACACCTTTACACTTGGCCAACTGCCCGTGGCATGGGAATGGATCTGCGATGGGATGTTGAGGGATGAAAAAGACAACAAAACTAAAGAGGGACGACCAGCTCACACCTAGTTCATGCAGGGGTGTTGAAGAGGGATGAAGACACCTAGTTCATGTTTGTGATGTAGGGGTGTGGGGGGAGATACCACCACACCCAGCTCTTGAAGGGAAAATGGTGACATCACAGAAGGTGAGGCACGAACACCATCTAAAGAATCTGCACTTGTGCGCATTTGCTCCCAGCTTTTCCTGCTCCCTTCTTCAGTTCTGACTCATAACAGTGCTTTTGCGAACTGTTTTCAGGTACTTCTGGGATGCTGACCTCATGGCGAGGGAAAAGGCCAAGGGAATGGATGCTACGAGATAAGAAACTCCTTTCCGTAGTAACAGTCAGAAAGGCCTCATGTAGAACAGAACAACCTGTGTAGATGTTCTAATTCTATATCCACTTGACTGAACGTTTGCCCATGAGGCGTTGCGATTTGAGATCTCGCAGCATCTTGTGTCGCATCCTGAGGTCTGAGTCACGTTGGACCGAAGACATTTTGATGCATTTTCATCATCCGTTTGTTCCAAATATGCTACTAGGAACAAGTGCATCGCTTCTAGTAACAAAGGGCCTTACTAGTAGTAACAAGAAGCTAGTAGAAACAAGTGCCTTACTAGTAGTAACAAGTGCCTTAAAATATGTTTGTACAAACAACATGTTCCCTGGATCCTCATCGCTCGCCATCAAAGCCAACCGGTCTTTGGGAACGAGGCGCCAGGGTGCTGACCTGGATGCCGAGAACATATTCCACTGCTTAGATGCCCAGGATGTACTGTTTGGGTAGTGAGTAGTGGGGTTTGTGGATGTATTTCGAAGCAGAATCTACTGTATCAAGATCATAGAAAGGATAGAAAAGACACATTACAAGCTAGATTTAGGGCTGAGCTTTTGACGGCATTCAAAGAGGGTAGGGGAGTTTCTGACTTTGTGATGGTCGACTTGAGTACCCTACAGGATGAGGAAGAAATGGAAGAACTACCAATGAGGATGATTTGAAGGGTCTTACGGCTGTCGGAAGCCGCCACCTGGATAAATGGTTGGTATAGTCGTCCTCGCCAGAAAGTGGTGTTGTCTTGTACTGTAGAGGAACAAAGTGTCTCTGCCTTCGGCCGCACAGATGGTTTAATCGATTCCCTGGTTTAGGCCCCACCCTCACCGAGCCAGAGGATGGTTGCAGATCGGATCCCTGAATGGGTGGGTGGATCAAAAAAAGCCTCCCCCAAGGAATCATCAGACGATCTGCTTTGTCCTTCAAGATCAACAGTTCTGCCCCCTTATGACTTGCAGTGTAGCTGTTCTCCACTCTTGCTTCACTCTCGCCGCGGCCGGACGGAGGCAAGCCGATCGACCTGGCCATTTTCCACGGCTACGAGGGCACTGTGCGGCTCTTGGAGGAGGAAGGCGTCAAGCCGAGCATCTTCGGCTGGGAAGCTCAGGGCGTGGAGTACCCCTCCCCGATGGACGCCGATCGTGTGCGGTGGGCTGATGGGCTGATGGGCGCCTCAGAAGTCTGAGGTCAAGTTTTGGAGTCGGAACAGCGGGGAGCAGGGTCGGAAGTTGTGAGCGGATAGAAGAGGATAGAAGTAGATTAAGTAGATCATAGCTGATAGAAAAGGATCAGGATCTTGATTTTCAGCTGATTGAGAATGTCAGTGAAGGTCTGAGAGCGAATAGAGTAATAGAGCTGATAGAGAGCCAAGACTCGTCTTCCAGGTGCTGCCTTCCAGGGGGACGTGGAGCGGATCAAGGACGTGCAACGTGCTAAACCTGGCCTGCTACACGCGCCACCTTTGATGCGGGGGCAGCTGGTAGTTTTGGTTTCTCAAATTGTCATCACCCATTGATGCAGGAAGAATAGTTTTCACTGTCATAGTGTGCTTTTGTCAAACAAGTCTACCCAATAAGATTAAAAACACATATATTACATAAGTTTTGCTGAACTCCTTCCTGCATGTGCAATCGCAGCCATCACTTGGACTTCAATTCTGCCGTCTAGCAACCCCTGCTTTTGTGCACCAAAACAGATCTGCATCCAAACGAGAACCTTCACAAGCTTGCAGAAGCCTCCTCCAGCCAATTGTTTGGACTTTGAATGGGCAAACTGAACCGCTTTGACTTGTAAAGGAAGGCCAAGGTCCGCCCAGCTTCTCCTGCGATCGCCGCGTTCGCAATAAGACAGTGCTCATTTCGGAGGAGCTCTTAGAGGAAGGTGTCGATCTTGATTTGAAGGGACGCTACAGGCAGGGGAGCTCCGGCGATGGGAACTGGAGCCGCCTACATCGCAAAAGGCAAGAAGTCCATTGGTGGATTTCACAGACAGATGAGACAGAACACCATGAAGTTGCATTCAGCATCCACAAACCTGAGTAGTTAGAAGAGAGACAAGCCGCTGGCTCTCATCAACGGATTGATTGAAGACAAAACAGGTGGAGAGATGAGCGCTGGTTGGATCATCTCAGAAGCCGATGCCCCCCCCACCCGAGCACAAAACTCGTCGAGCATCAGACTTCCAAGAACAGGTCTTTCGAAACGCCAGAGTCCCTCCCTGGCGACCTCCAATTAGAACATGAGGGAATCCGATTCTAAAGGCCAAGGAATCTCTTGAAGGGGGGGGACCTTCATTCCGTGTCATTCCTTCATGGTCCGCCCTGCGACAAAGGCGGACGGCCTTTGCGGAGGCACATCTGCGAGGCCACTTCGCTGCCCGGGGGCCCGAGGCAAAGTGCAGGGTATGAAGGATTGCCCACCCCTTGAAGATTCGGTGGGATCTCTTCACTCAATTCCTTGACCAGTTGTTTGCTTTGTTACATTCCTGAACAACCAAGGTCGAAGCCTTCCTTACCCAGCAGGGCTGCAGCCGCGAACTTCCGTGCCCGTTCCGAACGGGAGGGACTGCTTTTGGGAACGTGTGTGCAGGTCGGGTCGGGTTTTGGATTGGCGAATCATTAAGGGAGGATGCAGGGCGCCGAAGCAGGGAGCCAGCGTGAACACATGCTTTTAGGGATCTTTATAGTGGTCCCCAAATAGATCGAAACGGTGTCCAATACATTCTCAAAGGGATTTTGCATTTCTATCTATCTATTTGAGGATCTATATGAAATGAGGTGTACGAAAGGATTCCTTCCAGGCGTCATCCGCCTGTGACAGCTGGGTTACACTTCCTTCAAAGTGCAGCAAACTCACCGAGGCATCCTGAACACTTGAAGTCCGGATCGCAAAGCGTCACGAGTGAGCACGTGGGCAGCTGTCAGCTGGGGGGAGGATGGGGAAGGAGAAGAGGAGAAGCGGCCCTAGCGTGCTGAAGAAGCACCGGTCTTCCCCCAGTGAGGTCCTCACCAGAGTTCCTTTGCTCCTAGTAGGGTCCTTTGTTCCTAGTAGTAAGGCCAGGAGCCCCTAGTAGCGTCCTT